TGTGTGGTTGCAGAAGTCTAATCTGCACTTAAAGGTTAGCTGAAAGTGATGGCAACAAGCTGGTGATCATCTACAGTTTGTAAAAGCACATAGCTTCTGTGACTAATGCTTTTCTTAATGCTTTTCTCCCAAGCATTAATTTTCTCTAGTTTAACACATATATGGGATATTTTTATTAATGTTGTGAAAGAAAATCAGAAGCAGGTGGCTAGTGACCAATTTCTGCAAACCTAAAGAGAATACCTGGAGAAAGGTTTGCTCCTGCTACTGGAGCCTAACACAGTGGTGCCAGCACTGCCCAGCTTGGAGTTTTCTCTCAGCCAGTTGGCAGGTGGCAGCTTTAGGTCTGTTTTCTCCTGCAGGAGGGCATAGGTGGTTGGAGGCGGGGCAGCAGAGTACTTGACCACAGCACTGCTTTTCACTTCGCTGTTGCCCAAACAAACCGTCATATCCTTCAAAATAAGACAAATATCATTTTAGAATTTAGGAATAATAACCAAGTTAATGTCAATCTATTCATTTAAAACCTTAAACAATTAATGCTGAAATGTAAATTAATGAGAAAAGGGTTATATTTTGCCAGAAAAAAATTAATGTCAAATCCACTCCAGTTGAAAGCCACTTATATATTGTATATTAATAATATAATAATATTATATTAATATATATCATAATATATAATAATAATAATTGTTATTATTATATATTAATACTTTTTTGTTGCTTAATTTTAACTTAATTTAACTTAATACTTTTTTGTCCTGTAAGCTGCTGGTAACCTTAATTTCCGGAGGGAGTCTTCCCAAGGGATCAATAAAGTTCTGTCTAAGTCTAAGTCTAAGCCACAGACGTTAACAGACTTTAAGCCCAACACTTAAATGTTAGAATCAATTTAATAATGAGCCCTTGATACATATTTTTCTACACGTCTGATTTTTCTTAGTTATTACAGATTAAAACAATGGTAATGTTTTAAAACTTTTTTAGTGAATAAGTACCTACATTTTAAATAAGGTGACTATAAGAAAGTTTGGTACTGCTAGTTTCAACAGGTTTTGATTTTCAATGAATGAGTGTAATTTAGAAAAATACACTCTTTAACTCTTATAACACTTAAAATTTTATTTTTTCCTACTCTTTCAAATCTGTATTTTCCCATACAACTATTATGCTTAGTTTTATACTGTGGGAACATAATAGATTTAAAATCTTTTGAATGATCTAATTACTTCGGGTGTTTTTATTTTGAAGAGATTAAAGACAACAATGCAAGTCACTTAAGGAAACAAAACATTATCTTCAGTAAAGAGAATAGCGTCTAGTTTTAAACGCGATAAAGATAGATTTGGTCTAATTACTTACATGTTTGCTGTAATCTCCTGTGTTTGCGGCTCCACCAAGATCTTCTTTTGAATGATCCATGGGAATCCCAGGCTCTCTGTCCTCAGCTGCTGAGCTCATAGTGAACAAGTGTCTTATTCCTCCAACTTCTATTCTCATCTACGAACTCCTAAAAACTGGAAAACAAACACTTTGCTCTTAGGACTCATGAAACAGCCATAGATTGTCTCCATAACGCACGAAATAACTTAATTGTTTAGACGAAGTCAGAGGTTATTCCAGAGTTAGTTAGATTGTCAAGCTAGCTCAACAAAACAGCAGATAGCGTGGAAAAAAAGTAGATTCACAATACCTTTAAGCGTTAAAGCTAACCCAAATTCAAATGATAACTTATTGGTGCCTGTTATAATGTAAATAATATATTGTTAGTAGTAAATAAACAGGTCTTAGAAGCCTGTAGCCTACCTTCCATTTGCAGCCTCTCTCACTGACAACAAGCTAACAACAACTTCCGGTTTAACGGTGAGACAAACTGCAGAAACGGCTCTTATTTCCTATTTATGAGAAATAAACGCGTTTAAAGTTAATCCAAAATATTAAAACTAATGACTTATATGCTACACATAAAACAATTTTTTTTTAAGAGAAGCATTTTTCATAAAACTTGTTGTTATGAAAAGAGACTTAAACCGGAAATACATGGAGGAGTTTTTTCTAGAAAGATGGAGCACCTTCTGTCTTATTCTAAGTGCTTTTATTCTGAAAGTCTCCTAGCAGACACAAATTGTAATTGTAGCTCGGGTTTAAAAGTATGGGGAACATAATCTAATCTAAATACATCCGTTGTTTTCTATTTATCTGTATATTTGTTGCACAGGCCGTCATTACAACTATCATAACAACTCTCTAAACAGACCCGTACATATCAGTGAATTGAGAAACAAAATAAAAACTCTTTCTATCCTATTTATCTATAAAATACATCTATAAGATTTTTAGGAATCGTTATAGTTAACTCCAAACTAAATATTTAGTTGGTTAAATAAATATTTATCTCCAAACCAAATATTTAGTTTGCAAATAAAATATATATATTTTTTAAAATATATATTTATCTCCAAAGTAAATGTTTAGTTTGTTGAATAAATAGTTATCTCTGAACTAAATATTTAGTTGGTTAAATAAATATTTAGCTCCAAACTAAATATTTAGTTTGCAAATAAAATATTTTTATTTTTAATAAACATTTAGCTCCATATTAAATATTTAGTTTGTTAGATAAATATTTAGCTCCAAACTAAACATTAAGCTTGTTAAATAAACATTTAGCTCTTAACTAAACATTTATTTATTTCCTTTTTGATAAAGCTTATAGTTCGAGTGGCTGAGGTTATCCTGAGCTATTTCTATAGTTATGCTGCTATAGACTTAGACTGCTGGAGGACATAGGGATCCCTATGTCATCATTCTGCTTCATTCTATCTCTATTCTTCCACTCTGCAGAACCTGTTAGTTTAATCTCTAACATTATACTCTCTCTGCTTTTTCTACTATAGCTTTGCCTCATCTGTTCCTGCTTTGCTGTGACACCATCCTGGAGAGAAATAACAGCTGTGCTGCTGCCATCAACACCTTTGTTTATAGCTGTTGGAGATCAGCCTGTTTTTCAGTGTAGTACTGTTTCTCTGGTTGTGAGTTTCTGGATGTTCTCTCTTCATCCTCTGACATGGAAGTTGGCTCGGAGCCTGGCTGTGTGGTTCCTGGATGGTGCTTTCTTTTACAGTTGCTGTTTGTATCTCTGCTTCTGTCTCCCTGAACCCCAGTCGGCCTCGACAGATGGCTAAGAGGGAGTTTTTCCTCTCCACTGTCGCTACAAGCATGCTTAGTGTGATGGATTGCATTTGAGTCAATGAGTCGATGCAATCAACTGGTTTACCTTTGATAGAAAACCTTGAATTAATTTGACTGTATGATCTGGTGAACTGTAAAGTGCTTTGAGATGACGTGTTGTGAATTGGTGCTATAGAAATAACCTGAATTTAATTGAATTGTTTAATAAAGTAAGATTTTTATAAATGAATAAATGATATCATGAAAAAATGACTTGGAATAAAATTATTTTTCTCTTGAAAAACACGCTAAATAACCATGCATATTTCTCATATTTTCAGAGGCGTAGCCAGAAAATCCTAATAGGGGTGGCCAGTCAATAACCAATAAACATTGAGGGGTGGCCGAAAGGCATCAGAACCTCAGGGTCAATCTACACTGTTCAAACAGGAATTAGCATATTTTCTAAATAAAGACAAACTATACTTTCCTTCAGCCTTTGCTCACAAATAGACAGATCTATTTAAACATATATAATGTGTAAATAAAAGGTATAGTGGACAAAATTCTTTCAGGTTTGAGTTCTGGGGCAAACATATTTTACATAGTCATTACCTACTTTTATCAATAATCATTCTGCAAATTAATTATGTTTAAATTTACTAATATCCACATTTAATGATTTTTTTTTGTTATTAAAGTAATCATTTATCTATGATTTCACTGAAGACTCCTAGATGATTTGCAGGGGCACATCATTTTATCTTTACCCCAAATAATTCAAAATGTAGTTCTGAAAAGAGCATGAATTCTGTATTTATCATCTTTAATGTTGGTATATTGATGTGCATAATTACCCACAGTGTTTCTGTTGTCAAGTAGTTGTTAATATATGAAAAGTTTAAATGTTTAATAAGTTTGAACATTTCCCCTCAGAGTATTACTGCTGCCACAGTCTGTGTTACAGGGAAAAAATAGTAGGGGTGGCCAGTGATACCCTGGCCCCGCATCTAGCTCAAACGGCCCTGTAGCTGTAGCGGGGAGGAGCTGCGCAACCTGACTGCCTCACGCAAGTTCTGATTCCCAGTTAAGAAGAAGCTCATTTAGTTTCCCCAAAAGTTAAAGAAAACAGAGCCTATCGTTGGTATCTTGGGTGTTTTTGGATTGTGGCTTTGTGTGAAGTGTTTTTATTATATGTAACAATGGAGAGCTGGAAGAATCACGTGAGAGATCGACTTTTTCACAGAGACGATAAAGAAAAACTTCCATTTGTTGGCGTTTTCACTAAATGTAAGAATAATTTACTCTATTTCTGAATTATTTACGGTCCTCACCGCTTTGACATAGATACGTGTTTCTATCTAGTGTCTCAATTGGAGGAAAAACTTGAAATACGCAAACAGATTTTGGAGGATATTCAGGGGAAAAGGTTGTATAACAAATTAGATCCTCTTAAACCTTTATGTATTTATTTCATAACTTTTTTTTTTTTTACTACTTAACGTTTGTTTTCTTCTTTTTTAAAGTTTGGATATAGCAGTGGAATCTGGAATAAATGGCAAACTCTTTCAACTTCAGCTGAGAGAAAGTGAACACCTGGCAGACAAGGTGCGTCTAATACACGTTAATCAATGCAAATAATCAAATAAAAATTTGATCATTGCAAATATAAATAATTTTATATGAGTATTTTTGATAAATATAGGTTTTTAACAAATGTTATGGCACAGTCATCAAAATAAACACAAATGCATACTTGAAATATATTCATAAGTTTAACTTAAAAAGATTAAATTTAACGTTCTGATTATATTATCTACTTTTAGGACCTGCACATGCAGACCTTTTCATAATAACCCAAAGTTCAGTATCTCAGATAAGCATTTGACTTGAATAAAATCAAATTTAAATGCATTAAAAGAGGATTTGAAGATATTTTTTTTTTTTGCTATAGTCATTATATAAGTTGTACGACAGAAACCTGAATCGACTACTCTCTTCCTTGTTGTTCGATTTGTGCAATTTGTTGACCTTTCAACTGCTTCTATCTTCCCATAATCCAATCAGTCAATCCCTTCTGTTTTCTCCCCAGCTATCTCAAACTGTCTCTGACATGACCTCAGTCTTGTATGTGAAAGAAGCTGAGCTACAATACTGGCGCTCACGGTAATTTTTCAGCCTGTCAATTCCCAAATATCTATCAGACAAACAGACATGTATGGAAATAAATGATCGACCCTGAAATTAATAAACTTTATCTTAGAGTAGTGATGAAGTTCAATTTCTGGGCGCATACTTATCTGCCTACCAAAGTTTGTATGGATAGTATCAGTTACTATTAAAGTTGCGTCAATCTTATCAAACATATGATTAGTAACAAATACGTCCATTTGAAGGCTTATTTGTCTCCATATAATAAACTGCATGAAAGGTTCTGTTCAGAAAATCTATATTTATATAATATTTATACTTTAGGCTGAATTGAATGTCTCTAGAAGAATGATACTGTTTATATTCTCCCTAATGATTAACTAACAAACTTAACTTGGCTTACATGTGGCCAGAGGACTGTATGTTTGGCTGTTCTGCTCTTTCAATTCAAACTGAACTGTAAATAATCCAAAGTTACTATCAGTTGGCAGAATGACCCCACCTTTATTTAATCACAACATTTCTTTATGGTTTAGAAAACCATTATTAGTTTTCCAGATTTCCACCGAATTCATGATAAGAATATTATCATCTGGTATTTTCTCTGTGAAAACTTCCAATTTTAAAGAAAAGTATGTTCTGGATCAGCTTGTGTTTGTTTTCGATGCTGGATAGAAAAAAGTGAACAAATCAGAAGCATAGCATTGTGCAATGCTATGACGTCTGCAACAAATTGGGGAAAAAGGCTGCTCTTATGTTTTTGACTTGTACCATGAAATCTGATATCTTAAAGTGCAGAGTCACAGTCCTGCAAGGAGATCACTGAATATTTTAACATTTCTAATGTTCCAGTGTGTCCCAGTACCACCAAGAGGCACTCAATCTGGCTAAAGCGAAAAAATATTTAAAGGCAACCCTTATAGAGTTGGAGTTCACCGTGGAGTGTCAGTCCAAAGAGCTGACAGCCCTGAGATGGGAGCAGACCCAACTAAAGGAGGCTTTGGAGCAGGCTCAGAGAGACAACGAGCAACTTGTGCAGCGATGGATGGAGGAAAAGAGTGCAGAAGCAGAACGACTTAATAAACACAACGACATATCAGAAAAGTAGAATCAGTTTTGTGATTTACAGTAAACTTGACGTATAATCATTTGGTTAATTTTTTTCTAAAAATGTTTTTTTTTTTTTCTTTCATTTTACCAGGTGGCAACATCTGAGCAAACGGCTGAAGAAGCATTTCCGCCAGGAAAGGGAATCACAGTTTACTCCCTTATTTACAGAGACTATGGATGGTGCAAAAGGAACGTCTCTGTCAGTCAATCAGAGTAAGAATTCTCTATTAAATATCACACCTGGATATCACTCACAAGAGGTTTGAATTTTGTTATTATACCGTAAATCCTCTAATATTGGCCTGTATTCCATTAGTGGCCAGGTCTCTAATAGTGGCCGGTCTCGCTGTCGGTGGAGGTAAATAATGACCAGACTCGTATACAGGCCGGGGCTATAATTAGAACCAACAATGTTCCTGGGCAGTCCTCAACAACTTGTGATAGTAACATACATGTACGACAGAGGGGCAATGTTTGCTAACAAATCCAAGCCATTAGCATGGGAAGTCCCATCCTCACACAGAGATCGTAGTGGCCTTACGCAATCGTTCTGATCTGAACGACAAATGTGATTATCGGTAGGTCTGATGGTAACCAGGCAGCATTAAAATGACAGAATTTCGTTGGCCTTCGTTGTTCTGAATTTCCCTTGATATATATGATACTGGTAGCCTACTTCCACTTAGCCTGCCTCAAATAAAAATTCGCTATGATGGCAGAACAGTTTCCATTCTATTTTTTTAAACTTTATTTCACAATTCAGTTTTGCCAAGATTCCATTCTGTCTTTTTTTTTTTTTTTTTTTTTCGTATTGCTGTGCAGAAAAATTGCAGCTGCTGGAAGATGTCTGAATAATCTTCTGTATACCGTTATAGTAACTGTACTTTTTCTATAAAAGAAACTAGTATTTTATCGGTTCAAAGAGACACAAAATCTTGTATTTATTCATTCCACTGGTAGTCTGTTTTGATCAAATAGACATAGAGGCCTGTCTAATTCTGGCCTCCTTCCAATAATGGCTTGGACCAAGATGTACCTGTGAAATAAAGTCCCCGTCCTATATTAGAGGATTAACGGTATGCATCAAGTGGTAAAGGACATCCGAATAATTATTCAAGCTTTTGCTATTCTGATGTCTTATCTCATTTTTTTTTGTAGATCCCTGATACAGAGAATAATCTAATTGCACTAACACAACAAAAATAACATTGTTTTACTCTTCAAAAAAATATAGAATCAATTAATTAACCCTTTAACGAAAATACATAGGTAGTCATACCTTTGCAGGGTAATAAAATTATATTATTTTAAAGAGAAATTGAAAATTATAGACTGATTCTACATGGTTTCCTAATGTTTGTTATAACTTGTTAATTTTCTGATCTGGTTTTCAGGAGTCTGTAACGCTACAGAGGATGTTCAGATAAAAACAGCTTCGCTGCGTCAGAAAAAGTCTGGTATCGCCCTGGGATCTTAAACATCCTTGTATTCACATTTATTGATTTGTTCTTGTTGAAAGGAAACCAAATGTTGACAAAATGATCTTTATTATTTTATTTTATTTTATATTGTGTTAAAATAATAACCATGAGCTATAAAATTGATTTCTTAATCCAAATATGTTGTAGAATTACATTATGGATGAATAATCAACCTGTCATTTGGATCATCTGGCCAATACAATTTTTGTTATACCTTTTTTTTTTTTTTTTTTTTTTTTCTTCTTCAGGCATAACACAAATTGATTTTTTTGTGCTAAATGTCTGGTTTTTGTTATTGTAAAAGGAACCATCACTTGTAAAGCAGAAAAAACTAAACCCAGTCCCAAGTATTTATTATATTCTAGTGTTTTTATTTGGAAGTAGTAAAAAAAAAATAAAGGAATGTTAACTTAACTGTTTGTGATATTCATTTTTCTGCCTTCCATCTTAAATTATTTTTTTTAACAATGGCTAAAATTCCTGCTGAATCTTTAGCAAAAGTTTTTACAAGCATTTTTAGGTAATCAATGAATTGAGGCAATAAATAAAAAAAACATGCAAATGTTCATTCTTATGAAATTACCAGAGCTCTTTTTTTTTTTGTTGCCATGCATATTGGGCCTTTGGACTAATATGATGTCCACATATGTTTTTTAATAATATTTGGCTTTCATGTAATATCTTTATGAATATTTCCCCAATTAAAGGGAAGAAAAAAAAAAAACGTTTTTCACGCTTCTCCCTCAGTCACTACTATATATGTAGTGGGTATTTCTATGCTTGGATATTAACAGTTTTGAGGGTTTTTAAATTAATTTATATATATATATATATATATATATATATATATATTTTATAAAAACAAATCTGCATGAAGAATAATCTTGTCTGTCTCCTTTCCACAAAGCAATACATTTACAAAATTCTTGATGTATGAATAACACAGCAAGCATAAAATTATACATTAAAAGAAATATGACATATATATTCTTAGAATTTTACCTGATTGTTTGTACTACAGTCAGACATGCATAAGAGATCTTCACTCAGCATACTAGCGTTTATTGTCCTTATGAACATCAGGTCATATAGGTATACAGTCATATCACATTTGGGCAAAAGAAACACATTTCCAAATCTCCTTTGTCTGCAAGATATTTATTTTTTTTAATCCACTGGGCTCAAAACAAGCTTAGCAGATGGAAAATACCAGCACAGCTTGTGTAGAAACCAGAAGTGTCATTCAGACCATACACCTGTAACCGATTCACTGCGTTAAAAATGATTGTCATTCAGAGAAATTGCAAGCAGGGTACAGTAGAGCAGCTTTAAACTGTTCATAAGGAGTGAAGTAGTGTTACATCAAGGTTATATTACTCGAGCAGAAGTAAAAAAAAAAAATGCACTGGATTAAAATTTGGTTGACCTTATTCAAATAGCTGAACTAGCTCCTCTGTATGCAGTCAAATTCTCCAGAGTTCTGCTAACACCCTAATTATCTGACACCAGACCTTGAATGGGGTTAATGTCTGTGCACTCTTTGTTGCACTGTGTGTATATTTGCCATAAATATAATAAAAATAATGTTATTAATGAATTTCTATACAAGCTTGCTATCAAAGTTGCTTGGTCAGGAGGAGGGTTAAACAAATGGAAGTCTGGAGTGAGCCAATGAAGTGTACAAATTTTTTGATAGATTCAAGGGAGGTATGAGCTCAGCGTCCTTCGGTCCTGCCTATAGTCAAACAGAGATCCCCCTGGAGTCTTAAAGCTCTGAATACATTTTGAACTTTGATGTTAAACTTTTATAGGGCACTCAATGAAATACTTTGAAAACCTAAATTTCAGGCCAATAGTGTTATTGGAATCCAGGACAAGACCTTTATACCTTTGTAACATTAGAAAAATATTGATATTTTGATGGCAAAAATTAATGTTAGAAATGCCAAATTGACCAAAAATATTAAGAAAAATAACAAAAATGGTTCTATAAGAAATCCATGAAAAACTCTCTGAGAGTGAAAGAAACATTTTTTTTTTTTTTTGGTACAACATAACCATAGAGGCATTGATGCTGATACTGGCACTTACAATTTTTCTAGTTAATAAACCTAAATATAATTGTTAAATGTGCTTATTAACTTTTCAATTTACTTTTTACCTTTTTTTCTTAACTTGTTAACTTTTTTTTCAACTTAATTTACATTAGGTAATATATTATTCAAGGGCTCATTTAATTGGTCAAAGGCCAAAATAAGATGTACAGCCATGTAGCAGTATCTTTGCTGAATGGCTGTATATAGATATTGTGCTTCTAGACCTCACTAAGGGATGGGGGGACTCCATTTGTAAGGGGTATGCAAGTGATCAAAAACGGTAACTTGCCCTCTAAAGGGTAACTGAGCTAAAGTGCAGAAGCATTAGAAATTTACTGCTGAATTAATTAATTTATAATTTATGGATTTATTATGTCTAAACAGTTTGTTTTTGAGAAACAGATTTCAACGTTTTAAGTCCAACACAAGTTGCTTGCATACTCCTTTTGTCTACATTGTGTATGCTCCTCCAACTTTCTTTTTTTGTAACAACTTTTTATGTGTTGCTTTCCAGCAAATTGTTTTCAATTATTCAGCAGAACAAATCTCAAGAGACTATTTCTGTCGGTGGATAAACAGGTCTGCTCTACGGCCTCATGCCGGTCTGGTATCAGATTACCATTGAGTGTTCCAGGTTACCATGGTCACCAGTTTATTTTAGCAGTAAGGTTGGACATCATGATTTTGGTTTGTTTTTAAACCATTCATTGAAGAAATCTCAAACTAATCAACATGATAAGAGGTCGAAAACATTTCTCTCCATGCAATGGTGGCAAATGGGTAAGAAACTTTCCATTTTATGATCCAATTCCATCAAAATAGTTAAACACAATGCCTTCAGGTTTTATCTGTTTCTCTCCAGTTTCCCCATCCTGATTGTTCAGAAAGTGAGTTTAAGTCTCGTGAAACTTCTACAACCACTGGGGCTATGCTGAAGGAGACAAAGTCATGGTCGTCTGAGGATTATAACTTTGAGCGCTATCCTTTATACAAAGTTCACCCCAAGGTTCGTGTCTCTATGTTACAGCTTAATTTAAGAGATTGAAAGAATTGTTGAAGCTATTAACCTTTAACATCAAATGGTTTTTGATTTGTGATCTCCTTTTTTTCTGCTGCTTTATAGCAATCCAGAGAGTTTCCATTCTCGCATCATGACAACAAGATTGCCTTTAAAAACGACATCTTAGTCTTCCAACCAGTATGTATTTGTTTCATTTCAGGACAGGAAAGAAACGCTAAAAATCCTACTCACATCTTTATCTTCTCTTTGTTTGTGTCCATCAGGATGTAGGACGAAAGCAGTATGCTTATGATCTTACTCAGAGGAAATCCCATTTTTCTCTGGGCCATGATGCAGCTGAAAACTGCACCAAAGAACTGACTGGCTGCCTCTCTACATATAAAGCAGACTTTAATCCGGTGAAGAACATTAATGTTCCAAACAGGTTTAAGAGGTTCCCCCATAACCACAAGTTAAGGTCAGCAGAGGCTACCGTGGAGCAGTTCATGTGGTTCGCACAAGAACAATCCAACATCACCTTCAAACATGAATAAATATAAATAAACTGAATTGAAAATTTAATTGAATTGAAAAACCTGATAGATTTTCCCTGGAAAATAAAAATGTTCAGGAAGCTAAAATAAAAGTTTTCTTGGATTTTAGTTTAACGATTCTTGAGTACTAACTGACCTTGGTGATAAATAATAATTCAGTAACTTTTTAGACTAATACAAATTGCCAATGTTGTGTAATACTCTTGTTGGAGTTAACAAATTTGAGTAGCCTGTCTTATAAGTATTTGTTTTTTTAGATTAAATTTCTACAACATTTTTTTTGTTGTTGTTTGGGATTAAAATCTAATTTGAAGTCGTATTTTGTAAAAAATGTATGACTGTTACGTTGGACAAAAAGCTACAACTTTTAGATGTGTCCTCAGTCCACCACACCTGAATCCAGTAAGTAGATGATTGACAGGACTATGGGGAAAATGTAAACTAAGGAGGCAAACCAAAAATTTGGTAATAATAATAATAATAATTGAGGTGGAGTGTTGGTCTAGTGGTTAGAGCAGTGTGCTTGTGCTCTGAGAAAGTTGCAAGTACCCGGTTTTATCCCAACAGCCTCCACTCTGGGTTCCTGAGGATGACCCTTAACCCTACACTGCTTCCTAGGTGCCACACAATGCCAGCCCACTGCTCCCCAAGGGGATGGGTTAAATGCAGGGGTATATTTCTCCAATGATCAATAATATTCAATTATTATTGTTATTTGATTCAGGTGTGTTGAACTATAACATAACATGTAAAAGGTCTAGGATATTGACCTTGGAGGACTGGAGTTACCAAGCTCTGGTCTAGATAATCAATGAAAAGATACATGTCCCTTATTATAGAGAATCATTGCCTGTTGATTATGTGGTTTTAATTTAATTTGTTTATATAGTTCTTGTTCACATAAATAATTGCCTCAAGGAACTTTCCAAAAAAAAAACACTTAATGTATTCTTGTTGTATCGAGAGATTAAAAGTTAAGGACATATATTCCAACTTGATCTTAGTTAAAATGCAATGAATGTCGTTTATTAGTCAAAGTAGTGAGAATAAAAGCGTTCTGTCTTATGGATACACTCCAGATGAGAGAAATGTAGTTTTCACATTTAAATATTTTTGATAAGGAAATAGAACTCGTAGTCTTTATAGGCTTATTTATTTATACCAATTGTTTTATCTTTTACTTCCCTTAGATTGGCTTAATCAAGTATAGCTCCATGAAGGTAATATTTTCCAGTTTGCCATATTCTTGTCCCCTGGTCATTCTAGGGTAGGCATTCCAAGGCCTGTGGGTGTTTTAGTAGCTCCAATATTTTCTATATTTACCTCGCTGTCATTTTCTGAGAAGTTGTAACATCACAACTATCTCTTAGTGGTGATGGGGAGCAGTAGCTCAGCTTTGAGGCTCCCTGCAGTAAAACTGCTCCTCCATCTTTATCTCCGAGGTTGAGACCAACCTATTTACAGAGGAAATAAAGTCAGATATCTGGGATCTAATTCTTTATAGTCAGTGCAAGGGTCAGATTATTGACAGTCCATAATTTGAG